TTTTTCATTCTCATGCTGCCATGTTTTTATGTAACAGGCAGTGTATCCTCACTGACCTCAGAGCTGATGACTTTAGCAGCAGTGTCAAACCATCACTGCGTAAGGGGGAGGGGGCGCACTGATTCCTCAGTCATCATCATTTACCTCAAGAGAGGCAGCATCCATCAGATGGAAATATTTAATCTCCCTCATGTTTCTGTCTTTCCCCCTCGTCTCCTCCCTTTGCTCTGGACCCAGACTTCTCATTTTGGTTTGTTGTAGCCTGACTTCCTCTGGGGTTAGAGTTTTCTAGACCCTGATGTCCTCCTAGGTTAGAGGTTTTCTGAACCCTGATGTCCTCCTAGGTTAGAGGTTTTCTGAACCCTGATGTCCTCCTAGGTTAGAGGTTTTCTGAACCCTGATGTCCTCCTAGGTTAGAGGTTTTCTACACCCTGATGTAGGTAGGAGTTGGAGTTTTTTAAGAGGCATGGACTCAGATCAGTGCAGGAATAAAACTGTGGCTCAAGAACTCTGATATATATAAGATTAAGTCTTGATTGTTCAGATCTACAGACCACCTGCTCTGGTGTTTAACTTCAGTGTGACTCTGAGTTACAGACAGTAATATCTCACTCAGCCTGTCTGATATTCTAGAAACAGATCTTCATCAGTCTCTATCGGTGGGACCTAAACGTACAGATGTTAATGATAATGATAGACTGTCAGGCAGGCAGACACTGTTTATACACAGCTTCCCTTCTCTTTAAACAAAACTGAGTCTTTGGTCCTGCAGGAACAACTGTGACTGTAATGAGACAAACTCGTGTTTCTGTCTCTGATTCATGTATAATGTCTGCAGTGTTTGAGGTCAACACATGAGCTGATTCTCTGATTTATCCTAAAAAACACATACAGTCACACACATGCACACGCACACACACTGTTTGATGACAGTGATTGTCCTTTGCAACTCCTCACAGAGGAAATTAATGAGACTCATTAAGATTCTGTTGACTTGAAGGTGTATTGAGCTGGTTGGTTTAACAGTTTAATGAGTGTTTGCGGTCACATGTCATGTGAGTCTGAGGCTTCTGGTCACTGTGTGTGTGTTAGTATAAAGTACTGAGACATGCACCATCATGACCGCCACTACCATCACCAACTGCACGCCACCTGATACGATTAATCATGAGGTCATAATTTAGCATTTGAAGAAAACGGTGGTATACTATTCAGTAAATAAAGCTTGTGGAGTGCTGGTTTGATTGAAAAGACTCTAATTAAAAAAAACAAGTGACCAGAAGAGGTGGGCAGAGAGACTTGTGGGCTGTTGGTCTGTAATTCATAACTGTCAACGTTACCATAGGCTTAGTGCGCAACTAGAGTACATGTAGCTAGCAGGATTACAAACTCCTCATGGTGAAAACTGATGGTACTATAAGAGCTACAAACAAACTGGCCGTTGTGGGCTTGAACACTGTCGAAATGATCACACTGGAACACTGTTTAAACCTTTTTTTCTTTTTCTTTTTCTTTTTTTATAACCTTTAAGAGACCCCCAATATATAATATAATATACCAGTGACACTCACATACAAGTGAGATTTATATTCTGGATTTTGGAGTAATATTAAAACAACTTAAATGAATAATATTCTATTAATAGTCAAATAAGACAAACGTGATTCCCTTTTATAACCTGCCAGACTGACGTTCTGGGAACCCCCCCCCCTTCTTTCCTGCTCCGGTGAAACTCTACACGTGTGCTGATGGGGGGTCAGAGGTCAGTATGTGGGATTAGGCTGCAGCCCCACCTTTCCTCTATTCCCCCCCCCACCCCCACCACCACCATGCAATCAATCGTTCTTTGTAGAAACCCCACCTCCTCCCTGAACAACACACACACACAAACCCTTCTTTACCCCACATCATTCATACTTTGTCAAGATAAGGACTCAGCACCACCACACCCTCCTCCATCACCCCTCACTCCCCCTCCCCCAGAGTGAGTGTCACTAACGTACATACAAGTTGATAAGTGTATGTGTATAAATCTGCACATTCAGGACACCAGAGCAGTTTTAACTCACGCTTTCCTCACAATTTTCAGAAAGTTTAAGACAGTTTGTCCCTGAAACTCTCCTCATCTGGTTGTTCATACATGTCTCTCAGCAGGCAAGACATGACAGAAAAAGAAAGAAGGGGAAATTACACTATGGGGACATTTTTTGCTTTAATATCTATGATGTGTGTAGTTGGATGTCTTTACAGTAGCAATGAAAGAGCGGAGAAGAACATACTAGAGAACAGAAAACATAATGCAGCAGTTTTATAACGTGCAGGATATATATTTCATAACGCCCTCCCCCTCGCTCACGGTGAATTTTCCAGGAATTCTTTCTGCTATGAAGTTTTCAAGACTTTTGTTCATGTGTGAAATCAGCTTCTGACTGTTTTATTTCTGCTCTGACTCCAATTCCCTCTCCTTTGCACATGCTTCCTATTAGTTCCCCCCCCCCTTCTTCCACCTCCCTGCCAGTGACCTCCTGTCTGACCCCCCCTCTCTGTTCTGACCCGTCCACTCAGCTGTGTCCCTCAGCTCTCATTAGAGACTTTAAACGAGCTGCAGACACACACTCCAGACCCTACACACACGATATCTGTTATTATATCATCATCATTATGTTAAACGATGCTAGATGTAGTTACAGCTTTGGATCTTTTTTTATACGACTGATCATATACATTACAGATAATATCATTTAAAAACATGTGGTATTAAAACATTTTGTACATCTTTACAGTCTTAGTGTATGTGTGCAGTGTGTGTGTTGTGTGTCATACTTGTGTTTCCCTGATAGCATCAGTAGTATATCCTCAGGTCAGAGCTTCATGGTCAAACAGTCCAGCTGAGTGAACCATTGATCACTGTAGGACCAGTGTATATGTGTGTGTGTGTGTGTGTGTGTGTGTGTGTGTGTGTGTGTGTGTGTGTTCGTTGACTGTAAAACCTTACCAAGACATCAAACAGAACGTGTGCAGTGACTTAAAGCCTGCTGTGATGTTAGCAGTTAGCTTGTGTAATGACCCATTAAAGGTTTCCCTCAGACCTGCCTCACCCTCCCCCCCCCCCCCCCCTCCCCACAAACACACACAAACACACACACACTCCAACACACGCGCACACGCTCAGTTGAAGGAAGCGGCTGTAGCAGAACATTCTGTGTTTGTTGATATTCAGATTTATGACTTTAGTTCAGCAGATGTTTTCTTAAACTTCAGATGTTCCCTCATTTCTGTTTTCTTCAGTGCATTGGCTCTTTGAAGCTGTGTGTGTGTGTGTGTGTGTGTGTGTGTGTGTGTGTGTGTGTGTGTGTGTGTGTGTGTGTGTGTGTGTGTGTGTGTGTGTGTGTGTGTGTGTGTGTGTGTGTGTGTGTGTGTGTGTGTGTGTGTGTGTGTGTGTGTGTGTGTGTGTGTGTGTGTGTGTGTGTGTGTGTGTGTGTGTGTGTGTGTGTGTGTGTGTGTGTGTGTGTTTCAGATGGAGGATTTGGTTAAACAGAAGACTTTCTAACAAACTGTTGATTTTGAGCACGCACACACATTGATAGAGCTGTTTTAGGAACATAAAGCTCAGAACAAATAATCAGATCTGACCTCAGTTCACATCAGACTCCACAAGAGTTCACACCACCCATCTTTTCTACCTCACTCTCTCTTTCTCTCTCGAAATTTCAGTTTTAGAAAGCTTTATTGGCATGAATGTTACATGAATACTGTTGCCAAAGCATCAATGCAATACAAAACAACAACAACAACAGTGATCAATGATGCTGCATTAGTAAAAGTTAATTTTTACCATATTTAAAATAAAAATTCCAAATTACCCCCCCATCTCTCTCATTCTCTCTGTCTGTCTGTCTCTGCCTTTGAATTCAATTCAATTCAAAAGGGCTTTATTGGCATGGGAAACATACCTTTATAAATTAAGCGTATGCAAAATTCTCTCTCTCTCTCGCTCGCGCTCACACACAGACACAGACTGGAGTGTTTCTCCTCTATCACACACACACTTATTTACCTGTGTGTCAGCAGCAGTGTGTGTGTTTCCTGCAGTCCTAGTGTCACGTGGAGCTGCAGGATTCAGGTCTCATGTCAATTCAATTCAATTCATGTCTCTGTCTGTCCCCGTCTTCTCTCACTCTGCCTTCCCCTCACTCCGTCTCTCCCGATGATCAATCTAAGTGAAGTCGTCCTCCCCCCTCAGATGCTGTCCCCCCTGTCTCTCAGCTGTCCAAAAACTGAGACTGGTTCATGCTAGAAGAGAAGAACTTTTTCAGACTGAGCTGTGAGGAGTGGAACCTCCAGTTTTCACTGCGGAGGGGGATAGTGGAGGGTGGGGGGAATCAGAGGAGGGAGGGGGAGAGACAAGAGGACAGGGGGAGGAGTAGAAGAGGAATAAGGGGGAGGGTATGTTAGTTTTTTTTCTTCTGTATTTTTGGGGTGGCCCCACCTCCCTGTGATGTCATCATGAGCTAAAGATGACCTAAAGAGAAAATCAGCAGAGTGACTTTCCTTCATCGATCTGATAAATAAAAAGTGTTTAACAAAAGAATGCAGAAGAATGCACATGGGGTGCGTGCGTGCGTGCGTGCGCCTGTGTGCAGTGTTGTTATTTCTCCTCCATCTGTCCTGAATCAGTCGTTGGCGTGTGAATGTAACATTGAGAGGAGGAGCACAGTCAGAATCAGCTGCTCGGTCTGTGTGTGTGTGTGTTTATGTAATGACACACATTGAGTGTGTCTTAGTGTGTATAAAGCAGACCTTCAGATCCTCCATAGAGAAAGGTGAGTCAGTGATATGAACCATCATTGTGTGATTTTCAGCGGCACAGCTGCTCATTAGTGTGTGTGTGTGTGTTTCTCTGTGTGTTTAACAACTGATGTCCTCTTCCTTTTAGAGGAAAAAGAAGCGTGTGTGTGTTTCCTCCTGTTTGATGTCACTTCCTGTGTTCTGTGTTTCAGGGATGTACCTATCTGACCTTACCTACATAGACTCCGCCTACCCATCCACAGGAAGCATCCTAGAGAACGAGCAGAGATCGAACCTAATGAATAACATTCTGAGGATCATCTCAGACTTGCAGAGGTCCTGTACCTATGGTGGGTTTACACACACACACACACACACAGACACACACACACTCTATCTCTCCATTCTCTCTCTCTCACTCCTACACACCTGTCTTATAGATGTAGTGTTATTTAAAGCTTTTTGATTCATCATTCAATCATTAAAATATCAGAGAGTTTCTTTGACCTGATATGAAAAAGTATCAAAGACAGTTTTGACATCTACAGTGCAAACAAACTCTTTATCAGCATCCTGGATCACAAGTGAACATTTACACCTCCCCCCCCCCCCCCCCCAGATATCCCCTTGCTGCCTCACATTCAGAAGTACCTGAACTCTGTCCGATACATCGAGGAGCTGCAGAAGTTTGTGGAGGACGACAACTACAAGTAAGAAACACAGAGCATAAGTGTTCAAATACAGTCAGGCTACACGCGCTCAGTTTAACATATGATTGTGTCATAATGGAGAGGTCTGAGTTTGAACCCGTGTTCTGTTTTCAGGTTGTCTCAGAGGATCGAGCCTGGCACCAGCACCCCTCGAGCCAACCCCTCCAAAGAAGAACTAGCAGGTGGGCAGATGGATATTGTAGTTCGGCTTCTCTTCTGTCGGTCTGCAGCTCTCTTCATCTTCCAATCTCTCCATCATCTCTCTCTCTCTCTCTATCTATCTCCTGCAGGTCAAGAGGCGTCAGCATCTCCTCTCTGTGGACGGAAGTGTACTGTTGTAGCCGAAGGAACCAGAGTGCCAGCCACGCCTCCTTCCCCCCGAAACTTGCTGCCGTATGGACACAGGAAGTGCCACAGTCTAGGCTACAAGTTAGTCTTACAGTCTCTTCATGTGTTGACTCAGAAACACAAATGCGTTTTAAAAAAGTTTAGCTGGAATAACTCTCTCTTTCTCTTTCTCTCTCTGACTCTCTCTCTTTCTCTCTCTCTCTCTGACTCTCTCTCTCTCTCGGTCTGCAGTTTCATCCATAAAATGAACACAGTGGAGTTTAAAAGCGCCACGTTTCCAAACGCTGGCTCACGCCACCTGCTGGACGACAGCGTGATGGAGATTCACAGTCCCAGCAGAGGACAGGCGGAGAGCTCCACGCTGTCCAGCGGCATCTCACTCGGTCAGACACACACACAAACACACAATAAACTCTTTTATTCATCCAGAAGCTGTTAGACTCTCCCATGTCCACAAAGCCTGGTACCACAGCATGAAGCATGTATATCTCCCATCAAATAATTCTACTGCTACACTGCTCACTCCATGAGCTTTCTTTTTGTATCAGAGTATCGGCAGAACGTTTTGTACTCGGTTATTGAAGATTTCAGAGGAAGCGTATCTGGTTGGACAATAATCCCCTTTCAAATAATACTCCACTTTAAAACACTTACTTTCTGCTTTTACACTGGGAGGAACAGAAAGTGTGCTTAAGATACTCTATAATAAAACCTGTAGGCAAGATTTTAGAGGAAGCATATATGGATAGACAAGCATGCTCCCTGTACTCCACAAAGCACCATGCAACTCATCTCCATGGGCCCCAGTATTTGATATAACACCGACAACAAATACACATAGTCATAAGAAAAAAAGGCTTTACTGTGTATTTTATTGCGGTGCAGTTGCACTCAGAGACCTCTTTGGTAGGCACCAAAATGCACCAAATGGAATTCCTACAGATTGTTCCTTTCATGTATTTGTGTGTTTTTGTGTGTTATCAGGCAGCAGTGAGGGCTCTGAGCTCAGTGAGGAGATGTCCTGGCCAGCCTTTGAGAGGTGAGTTTGATGTTTGTGTCTTCGTGTGTTTGTGTGTGTATGTGTTCTGATTGTACATAACATCCACATGTTGTAACACCAGCAAATTGACTCGTTCCAGTTGAATGTAACTTGAAACACAGGTAATCCTGTTTGTTCTCAGTCTTGCAGTGAATGGGTGGGGGTGGGGGTGTCAACACTCAGCGACAGCAGTAGCCTGGGTCCAGCCTGACTCCATGTTCACCCTCAGACAGCAGAATGAGTCAAACTCACCATCCAGCCCCCCCCCCCCCCCCCCCCCCCCAAATAACACACGCACACAGCCGTAACAGACTCCCCCCATCCTCCCCTGTCTTATCCCACTCTGAACAGGACTCGCTTCTATCACTCTCTGGGCCCGGTGACCCGCATTGCCAGAGTCCCCCACAGAGGAGTCCTGAGGCCCAGCAGGTACAACCAGACCAGAAACTCCTCTTTATTCATCCTCTGAACCTGAAGGGGGCGCTGTCTGCTGGGGCTTACACTCTGTGTGCGTGCGTGCGTGCGTGCGTGCGTGCGTGCGTGCGTGCGTGCGTGCGTGCGTGCGTGCGTGCGTGCGTGCGTGCGTGCGTGCGTGTTGTGTGACAAATCTGGTGGCGGGTTCAGGATCTGTTTGATTCTTCATCTTTGGCTTCAATCATCACTTTGTTTCCACTATTCAACTGCCTTTGATACAATTGCATGTCTCACACACACACACACACACGCACACACGCACGTGGTGTGGTGATAAGTTTCCAGGATGTTTCTCAGCTTGGAGCTAAATCTGAGTTTCCGAATTCTGTCTGAAGACAAGCAGTACACTGAGAGACAGACAGAGAGACAGTGTTATATCAGCCTGATTCAGACTACCGTTTCAAGCCATGATATTTAGGTCCCTGTGATGTTTTGCCTTCGCAGAGGCTTTAGGGGCAGACAAAGTGATCCCCTCTCTACTGTCTTAAGATGTAGTAACAGAGGCGTTACAGAGGCGAGACGATTTTTGAGGAGACAGCAGCAAAGCGCAGCGCTGTATGTGTGCATGTCTGACTTTGTGTATGTGGAACTCCTGCTGTGCCGTGCTTCTGCAAAGCAATGTGAATTCACAGACTGGGACACCAATAGTACTGGAATGAATGTACAAAGACGTGATGACGGCTGAGCTTAGATACAGCACTTTTGTGCAGTATGAAAAGGGCTAGACAGACACACAGACAGGTACATTCTATCCCTGACTTTTCCTGCTCTTTGTCCTGCCAGCGTTCTTGTAAATTTTGAAGTCAGGTTGAGCTGATGAGAGAACTACGCAGAAAACATTCTGGAAAATTCCCCCCAAGCGAGCATGAGTGGGTAGTGATGTTTATATCCTGTTACTGGTGAACAACTAGTGGGATCTCTGTGCATGTATCTGCTTCATTATGTTGCCTTGGAATACATCAAATAACACCTAGCATCAATGTTAGGGATGTTCCTATGAAACACTTTCCAAGGCGATTAAATGCAAAGAAAAATTCAGACAAGTCTACATTTAGGAAAACACTGGGAAAACAGTCAAAGTTGAGCACAATTTATTGCCTGTGTAGGTTCTCAGTCATCCTGGTCATGGTAAATTCAAAGCTTAATCCAAAGGCAACTGGACTGGTTAAATATCTTGATTAAAGATCTGTAACCAGTCCATTTCCTTTATACAAAACAGAAGCATGTGGAGGAAAGAAGAACAAGAAGCAAACAAGGCTACATGCAGCGAATAAGAAATCAGTAGTTCTGATGCTGTCTAACTGGGGTGCTGACTTTAATGGTTTAGTCGACTAATCATGCTCACCCTTCATTTATATAAAAAGACTGTCATCATAGTGTCTTGGTATCTGTCTCTGCTGCCTTATTTATTTATTTATTTATTTATTTATTTATATATATATATATATATATATATGTGAGATCAGCTGGGTCACTCTGCGCCACACACACTCTGCTCAACCTGCTCAGCTCATTACACACAATCTGCTCCTTCTGCTCTGCTACTAACACACTCTGCTCCTCACACACACACACACACATACACACACTCACAAACATAAACCATTTTCACACATTCAAAAATCTCCTGCAAACTCCTTAGATTCGGCTACCCGGAGGGACTTTAGGCTATGTGTGAACACAAACAGCCGCATTTTTCGCGCAGACTTTACCCGGAGTTTCTCCGGCCAGACCCCTAGTATTTTATCCGCAGAATATCCGAGTGGGCTGATGTCTGAACGCAGCTGAATATACTCCAGAGATTTTCAATTTGAGCTCACCTCGAGCCAATGGAAAAAGAATGACGTTTATATACAGTGGCTGCCTAAAGTGTCTGCACATGACCACTACAATCTCTGTGCACATAATTAAACAGCTGCATTATGTTTTGTGTTCTCCTCTATTTTGTGGATGCTGTCATTCCATTGGATTACACATAGCATTGATATAAAGGCAAATATTCTCATTATAACGTCGTGTAGCGGACTCTGTGGCTTCAGCCGCTGCTTCCGCGTTGTTTATTTACGTCATTTACGTCGGCCCCTCCCCTCTGACAGGGATAGTCCCCCGCTGTGAGGAGCATATGTGAACGGCTAGTTCAGGAGAAACTCCGGAGAAGTCCTCCTGTAAATATCTAGATATTATCCGGAGTGCATATGTGAAAACGGCTATAAAGAAGAGGTGGCTGTGCAGTGTGAGTCTTCACTTCAAATTTCTGTGTGTGTGTTTTTAAAGTGTGTTTGTGTTTGTGTTTCATGTTGCAGTTCAGCAGAGTCGGAGGAACTGGCGGTCCATCTTTATCCCGGAGCGGTAACTGTGCAGGGGGTGCTAAGGAGGAAGACAGTGATGAAGGAGGGCAAGAAACCTACAGTACGAATGCCCACATACGCACACATACTCTGTATTTTAGCAAATGATGTTCTGTTGTGTGAAAATAACAGGATGGCCTGTCCCATACTAAGGTTTTACATAGTCGAGTCTGATGCGTCAGATATCTCCCATAGTTGACTGACTGCCAGAATGTTTTTTTGGTTTTTTTCGCGCTCATTGATTCATATTCCCGTTTGAATGTATTTACATCGCTAAGCTATTTGTATTCTAATCTTGTAATAACATTTTATTTTATGATAGGACATCCTTTTATCACTCATTAAGTCTGCATTAATGTGACCTTATAACCATAATAAACATGTCTGATACAACAGACACATACACTGACAACCCAGTGTGTGCTGATCAGACCAGCGACAAACAAACATCGTCTTTTAACTTACCATTTGAAGATTTACCGTCTGTAGGCTACTCTCCTGATCACAATAATCCACCAACAATGAGTCCCCATGATTTAAATCCAGTAAAAGATTTAATTCACACATGTTACGTCCTTAATGATCCACAGAACTGTAAAAAAAAAAAAAAAAAAACTCCTATTCTGTTTACCTTTTGATGACACTTAACAGCCAATGAGCGCCTTTGTTGAAAGCAGGTGCCTCCCCCCTGTTCTGACGGCCCATTGCATGCGACTGTACTGTTGTAATCTGTTCAGATTGTCAGTCTTTATTCGCTGTTGGAGCTTACTATTTCTTCTCGATCTTCAGTATGTCTGACTCAGTCTGAGCTGCACTGCTCTCTCCTGCCTGCAGGTGGCGTCATGGACCAAATACTGGGTGGCTCTGTGTGGAGATCATCTTTACTACTATCCTGCCAAGTCCCTGAAGGCCACAGAGAGAAAACATGTAAGTAAAGCCTTGTTTATACTTCTGTGTCAAATCAACGTAATAGCTAGTGAAATACTCCACCTACAAATATCACTTTGCAGCAGTGGGATTTCTATGCTAGTTATTTTGCCAGTTTCTGGTTCAAACACATTCTCTGCTTGTAATGTGTACAGGAGACCATGGCGACTAAAACAGAACGTTTTATGCTGGAGCCGATAAATATTGAGCAGCAGTTGATTATACCGGCTTGTAGCGTTCTTCCATCTGCAGAATTTTGAAAACAGTTGCAATACCGGAAATGTTGTGAATGCAGGAAACGCATTGCTACCTGACCAATCTCAAGGCTTGTGGTCTGTGTAGTTTTGATCCGTAGTTTCATTTTTGAGGAGGTGCATGTCAGGCTACGTACGTAGGCTTCTCAATAGGTACAGGGCTACAAGAACCTACAGTGTGGCTTTAAAGCAGAAGAATAAATCAGGCTTAACACACATCCCTTCCTATATTTAAGGAGACATCAAAGTAGAGGATGACAGGAGGTCAGACTGTTTAGGAACAGCTCTGTAACACTTGTTCTTATGCATCTCACACACCTGTCAAACCTCACACACCTGTCACATCTGTCACACCCTCACCTGCTGGTGAACTTGAGCTTCTAACAGAAAAATAAATCTACGGATTTACTGCTTTCTCACTTACTGGCCATTTCCACATGATCCTTGAGCGCAGCGTTCTGTCTCCAACTGTGTTTTTCTCTGTCCGACTGGGTTAATTTCTAAAGCATAATTAATGTGCAGCAGAGTGCAGCCATGAGCAGCTGGACTCAAGTTCACATGGGAATGAAGAAACAACATGTAACTTTGTGTTTTGAAGTTGATTTGTAGTTATTTTGGTGCTGTTGGAGTCAAATTATGTGTTTGTTTTGTGTCATGGTATTTTCCTTTTGGTTGTGTGTTGGCCCTCTACTGGGCACTATGTGTAGCCTGGGCGGATGCTGTGTTTAAAGCAAGGCTCCAGGTGAGGTGGGACAGGTGACTGAATGGAGGCAAACAGTTTTTCTACCGTGTCAGCCTGTTGGAGTTAAGGCATCCAAAGCAGATTTGTTTGTTTTATTTACAGACAGTGGTTCATCATATTTTCCTTTATTGATAAGAAGTTTTTAAAAATAAGTGGATTGAAATATCCAAATCACAACATCAATGGACTGTGTTAATTTTGTCAAGCTAGGCACGCGTCTGAAAGCTTCCGCATTCATCCCTCAAGTGACTTTTCTAAACAATATTGGGTTGTTAAAATTGGTCACTACAGGTGCCTTGTTTGACGTGATGTTTATAAAGTGATGGGATGTGAATGTGATCAACCCAGGCTTCCTGTTGGGGTCGATCTTGTCTGTTCAGCTTGGCCTGTGCATGCAGAGAGATGCATATTTGGAGGTAAGCAGAGTGCAGCTGTCAGGTACCTGAGATGGACGGAGGCTTGGGAATTGGAAACAAAAGCATTTACTAGAGAGGTAGAAATCGGCTCTGGAGTGCGTGGGGTTGGAGCAAAGAGGCACACAGGGATCCTGTGGAAACTGCCAGTTACATACATACACAAGGTGAAGAAACAATGCTGCTTTACTGCACACACACTTACACGAGAGGATGTGAGTGTGTGTTGGGGCACAGCTGGTAGCATTCATCAAGTAATCAGAGTGATGACATCACTGCAGTCCTGTGTGTCCATACTAAAGAGAACCTTATGAAGTCAAACACACAGCAGATTTGTGTGAATGTTTTATACTGTGTACACGTGGTACACTGTGTGCATGTAGTACGGTGTGTACACGTAGTACTTAGACTTAGACTTAGACTTTCTTTATTGTCATTCAAACTTGTACTTCACAGTGCAGATAAGAACGAAATTTCGTTGCATTTGGCTCGTTGTAGTGCAGGATAAAAACAGCAGCAAGTCTTTACATATAAAAAATAAAAATAAGGTGCAGATATAAATAGATATAAAAAGAAAAACTATGAGTAAAAATACTATACAGATAAATATATTGCACGTTATATGTATTTTACAGTCCAGTGAGGTAGTCCTGTGTGGGGGTTTGAGGGGGAATGGAGGGATTATTTTTTCGTGTTTCGTGTTCGTTTCGTGTTACATACTCTGTGTACATGTAGTACTGTGTGTACATGTAGTACACTGTGTGCATGTAGTATACTTTGATACTGATAATCATGGATTTTAATAATTGGTTGTTGCTTTAGATCAAACACTTCATACTGATTGTATTCTTCTGCTCCTTGCGTTGCTTTGTTTGCTCTTTTCACTCAAGTTCAACTTTAACTGAACTTTGTTTATTGCTGTCTTATAATCATCTATACACCACCATCCTGCGTCCTGTGTGTTCATAAGGGGATAATGATTGTTACACAATGTTCAGTGTTACATAAAGTAAAGAGTTCATCATCACAGTACTTTGTTCTGACTGTCAGGGTTATTACATGGGAAATAAAGGTGTTAGCACATGTGTACTTACAGGTGTAATTACAGGAATAACCACAGGTGTTATGACTTGTGTTATTACAGGGGTTATAACCGGTGTTACTGCTGGTGTTAATACAGGTCTCAATACAGGTGAAATAACCGTTGTAATTACATGTGTTACTACAGTTGTGATTATAGGTGTAAATTCAGGTGTAACGTGTAACTTCACATGCTTTTGCAGAGGTTATTTCAGGTGTAACTGCAGTTGTAACTAAAGGTTATTACAGGTATAACTACAGCTGTAATTAGTTATTATAACAGGTGTTATTGCATGTGTTATTATAGTTGTTATTACAGGTGTAACTGCAACAGCTGTTACTACAGGTGTAACTACAGATGTAATTACAGTATTATAACAGGTGTTATTACAGGTGTAACTACAGGTGTAATTACAGATATAACAGTTGTTATTACAGTTGTTATTACAGGTGTAACTACAGGTCTAATTACATGGGTTATTTCTGGTGTCTTTTTATTAGCCTGACCTGAGCTGTGTGTTTCCCTCACAGTTTAAATCCACCTCCAGTAAGAGCGTGTGTGTGGTCGGTCTCATGGCCATGATGGCTGACGACCCCGAACACCCTGACGTCTTCCTGCTGACCGACTCAGAGCACGGTGAGACTCACACACAGCAACAGACACACACACATTTTCCACAGGGATTTTACACTCAGACTATTTCTCTCCGTTGCTTAGGTAACACCTACAAGTACCAGGCCGGAAACAGGATAAATGCTCTGCTGTGGTTCAAACACCTGAGTGCAGCCTGTCAGAGCAACAGGCAACAGGTATGATATAAACACAAACACACTGTAACACTCACTCACTCACTCACTCACATAGAGGAGAATGTGTTTCAGTGTTGTTGTGTCGGATGTTGCAGGGTTGTACAGGGGTTGAGATACAAAGAGAAGAGTTGCATATTTCTCATCTTCAGTAAACAGTGTTTTTCTATGCAGCTCTCGACTGTTAGCACCACTTCACTGTGACTTACCTGCTCATCTCATCTGGTCCTCAGGTACCCACAAATCTGATGTCATTTGAGTGAGACATGCTGAAGAGAGAGAGGGGAGCAAAGGAGAGAAGATGTTGAAGATAGAGACGGAGTGAAGGAATGCTGAGGAGGAGGAGGAGAGACTCTAGTGGGAGCTTTCACTGCCATGAGCCCCGCCTCACTGCAGCCTCACCTGCCAACAACTGCCTTAACCAGCCCACCCCCCGTGTGTGTGTGTGTGTGTGTGTGTGTGTGTGTTTGTGTGTGTGTGTGTGTGCGTGTGTGAGAGAGTAAGTGTGTGTCACAGACTTTTCATAGGGACACTTGTAATCCTCCTCTGCTTTTTATTGGGTTAGCTGTTTTTATTTGCCCGTCCTGGACGCCCCTCCCTCTGCTGCAGCATCTTTACCTTTTAATCAGCCGAACACACAATCACAACACACACACTCACACAATCACAACACACACAAGCAATCACAAAACATGCACACACCTGATTCTTGAGAATTGAAACACTTTTTTTCTGACTTTATTGTTATTTACTTGTACACACAAGTTGTTGCAAGACTTTTGGGATGAACCACACACAGAAGCAGAAAACACTCTCACACATACCCTCTTTGACACATACACACTAGCACACACACACACACACAGGCCTGTTCTGCATGGTGGTTAACATAAGGGCTCTTATTCTCATGGACTTCAGCAGACTCTGTATGTGTGGACTTTTATTACTGAATTTGTCACATACAGGCGCTGTGTGTGTTCACGTGTGTGTTTGCGTCGGGGGGGGGTGTTGTATATGTTCACACGGTACGATAATCCAGAGTCTAAGCTACGACGCGTGTATTTCTGTGACTAGTGTTGTTGTCTCACACACACATACACACACACACTCTCTGAACACTAAAGTTAGAAACTGTGAAAGAGTCAGAGAGAGAGCATCATGATTTCTCCTCCTCTCTCTGTGTTTTTGCAGACGTTTGAAGCTTCTCGTCTGTTTGTATTATTGTTGTTTTGTTATTGTTTTTTGTTGTGTTTCTTTTTTTTGGTGGGGGGTGGTCACAGTATTACCATGTAGTCAGCGTACTTCAGTCTGTTACATTTGAATGTTACACTTTTGTTTTTCTCTGTTTGTGAATTTTAGTGTTCCTATTATTTTGCTCTTCTTCTTTGAATTTGCTCACTTTAATGTTAACGTGTTCACCTGTGATTAACTGAAGCACCTGGTTAGAAAGAGTGCCAACTGATAAGCCCCGCCCTCAAGCCCTGCCTCCCCAACAGAGCTGTAGATGGTTTAGACGAGTTGCTGCTGTTTCTTCCATCCAAATACAGAAACTCAATCAGGAGGAGAGATTCATCTTTTTCTATCTCCTTTTTACAAACAGCTGTTTACATTAAATGTTTACACAATCCTTCACTCCCCCCCCCCCATGGTCTTCATCACCCTGAGGAAGAGTGTTACAGTCTGCATAAACAATCGTTCCGTCTGACTAGAGTTGTCAACAGTTTTAAACTTGGATATGATTCTAGTAATAATCAAATGATATCGATGCCTTTTTTGATACTGCAGCAAAAATAAAAGTCCTAGACACTCAATGTTGGATAATTTATTGTTTTAAGTAACAAAAAATGCAGGCAAACTCCTGCACACTGTCTGTACCTGGATACCTGGACCTGTGTCCTCACGTGAACCAGAACTGGTAGTTCTGTGAGCCAATCAGAGGATCCACTCTCTGTAAATTACACGATCTTGATGGGTTGGGGGGGACAGAGATTGTGGTCAGTTTATGTCAAACCTCTTTAACCTGTTGAATTTCCCCAAACAGAAACTCATGACAGACGGACGTATACTGTGGAGCTGACCCTGCTAGGTGCTCCCTGTGAGCCTGAGTTTACATGTATTTATGTTTTAAAGAGTTTGGAGATATGTTAAAGCCTTTGAAAAGTTTGGACACATTTGTTTGAGATGTTTCCTGGTTTTTGTTTTCAGGTCGATCTGGGCTAACATAATGACTCGATCCTCCTCTGTCTGAGATCAAAAACTGTCCTTGCTCTCCGTTAAAGATAATGTGTTTATCAGACAAACCTGATGGTCTTTGATTTGTCCTTTATGTCTTTCACTTTGACATCTTCTGAAAGCACATCCTGAATGGACCGTTCAGAGTGAGATCCTCTTATACAGATGTATCAAGGTGTGTGTGAATGTTGTCCTTCTTTGTGAAGGAATGGCTTCATTCTCTGTTTACCAAAAACATTAACTCCCTGTGTGTTGTGTATGGCGTGCGCTGTGACCTCACTGCTGAGTGATGCGCTGAGAACAAATAAACACCCTGTTTTTTTACTCCACCTCAGAGTCTGAGTCTTTGTGCTGTCAGAGCTTCTGAGTGTGTTACAGAGTGTGTGTGTAACAGTTACAGAGTGTGTGTTACAGTGTATGTCTAACAGTGTATCAGTGTGTTACAGAGTGTGTAACAGTGTGTTTAACAGTGTGTTACAGAGTATGTGTAACAGTGTTATACAGTGTGTGTGTAACAATCTGTTACAGAGTGTGTTACAGTGTATGTGTATCAGTGTGTTACAGTGTATGTGTAACTTTTAAAGGGTATATGTAACAGTGTGTTACAGAGTATGTGTAACAGTGTTATACAGTGTGTGTAACAATCTGTTACAGAGTGTGTTACAGTGTATATGTATCAGTGTGTTACAGTGTATGTGTAACTTTTAAAGGGTATATGTAACAGTGTGTTACAGAGTATGTGTAACAGTGTGTAACTGTTACAGAGTGTGTTACAGAGTATGTGTAACAGTGTTATACAGTGTGTGTGTAACAATCTGTTACAGAGTGTGTTACAGTGTATGTGTAACTGTTAAAGGGTGTGTGTAACAGAGTGTTTAACAGTGTGTTACAGAGTATGTGTAACATTTGGTTACAGAATGTGTGTTACAGGAGCTCTTTGCCGATTGCGTTTCCTCAACAGTGCCTCAAAATTTCATTAGGCTTTTGTACGTCAACATTTCATTCCAGTGTGGGAATTTGTGTCGAGGTGCGGGCGTGCAAGAGGGTGGGTGGCCAGTGAACTTGCACTCAATCAGACGTGCACACACAGCGCTGTTCCACTTCACCTGCTCTGATGTTACACATCACCACCGCCTTCACCCCGTTAAGTAGCCTGTCTGTTACTATCTATGATGGATGATCAGCAGTGGAGTGGTTTCACCCCACCATTCAGTCTCGTTGTGTTTTACATTGCAGGAGAGACATAACTGTAAATATCCTGTCTTCGATCCATGGGGCAACAGTTTGTGTTACGGTCAGATAACAGCAGTGTCATCTGTTAAAATGATTTTTTTTATCAAGATCTCAAGAAAACAACTAAAATTAACTCGGGAAAACCAACGTTGTTGTCTCGAGAGAACAAACGAAAGAAGTCCATAGCTCAAGAAAACAATCACAATTTACTCAGCACAGAAAAGGGTTTTATAAAGTGCCTGAATGTATGTCCACTCAGGGATTCTGTAGCCTACTGAAGACAGAATATCACATTTTTAAATGATATTTAGTGTAAGTAAACTGTCTCTGGCAGCTAAGGGTTTGGGATTTTAACAATTACCAGAATTTTAAACTTTTTTTTTTTATATCATCGTTTTATTTGGGATGGGTATACAACGCTCAACAAACTGTACACAGAATGTCAGTATATTCCTTCCCTCCACCAACATGAACACATACATGCATGTCTGCATACCTAGGCCTCCATGCATACACAGAAAAACAAAGCAAAAACAATCCTAACAGTAATACTAATAATACTCTTCATAATAATAGTAAAAATAATAAGACGAGACAAAAACAAAGATAATAATAATAATTATATATCATAGCATCATTGCATTTATCATTGTTGACAACCTTTAGAAAATTCCTCCAAGCAACAGATCAATGGAAGCCAAAGGTCCAGAAAAATATGGCCACGGTTACATTTTTCCAAAGTTAGTTTCTCTAATGGTAAGAATTGTGACAGCTGATCCAAAAACAACTGAAAGGTTGGCGGAGATTCATTTTTCCAAAAAAAGTAATATGCTATTCTTGGCAAAATATGTTACAATTATTAATATTCTGCATTTTTTTTCTATCTAACTGAAAATCTGGGGAGTCATTTAATAAATACAGACAAGGGTTTAAAGAATTGTAAACTTTGATATGATTCTTGAAAAAAGTAAACAATATTAAAACCTGTTTGTTACAACATATATTGAAATGTAATATTTACATTCGCAACAGAAATAGAAGTCCGAGACACCAATTTAATGTATTAATTTATTATTTAGACTAACTCCTACACAATTAATGGCATAGTTTCTGTGCTATTAAGACAGAGCCATCTGTCTTGTACTGAGTCTGACCAAAGAAAAATCGAAGAATCGATCTTAATCATGTGATTCTGTCTTCTTGCTGTCTGTGGTTTGCGCTCTCGCAGCGCTCTGCCGCCCCCTGGTGGCCGCAGGCACCACCTGCAACAGGAGATGTTTCGGAGGTGTACACGGCGGTCCGGGGAGGAACCGAACGGAGCAGAGGAGCTACCGGGAGAAGCGAGTAGAGGAGCCACCGGGACTGTTATCACCGGGACACAAACACAGCTGCTACAACAACAAAACAGACACACAGCGGGAGGAGTGTGAGTGATCGGAGGTAAGAGAGGAAACTACTGACGACATCACGTTAGCTGGTTTAGGTAGCCAGCTAGCGGCTGGAGCTAACCTGTAAGGTGTACAGCGGTTTGCTAAGCTAATTAGCTCTGAGGTAAAGAAGTGTTACGTTAGATATACAGTGACATACAGAGGACATAATGCGGTAATAACCCGGTAAGCTTCCAGTACACCGTTTGTCAGTGACGTTAAAGAAACAGTGGTGTGTGTACCAGTCTGTGTTTGCTAAGGGTTAGCTGTTAGCTGGTGTTAAAACAGGCAGAGACTTCATGAAAGAGCGACTGTGTTCACAGACTGCCTGCGTGGACCTGATCCTCCACAGATCCTCCACAGTCCCGATCCTCCAGAAGAGGATTTCACTAAATCATTGGCAATGTTTTTGTTCAATTTAGACTGAGTTTGTCTGCAATGTTGGTGATTAAAACCAAGATGTTCCCCAGTCTTTTGAGTGTCTGGGTCATATTTTTGTTGCTGTGGTGTCAATGTTTGATTTTCTACCAGAATCATATCAAAGGTTATAGCAGCTAACATTATAACTCTGTTGAACAGGCCTGGATCTTCGTCATGGTTGTTTAGTTACTTAGTTTAAACTATAATACAATTCCAGTGGGAAAAAAAATTGTATTGTAATTCTCAATCATATATTTTATTTTTACTTTATGTTTTGAATTTCAGTTTGGTTTACATTTGTTTTGAATGCTGGTTTGTTTATTTAAGTTAAGTTTTCACTTGTTTTAGTGTTTTTTATTATTATTATAAAGATATAAAAGCAGAACGCTGGTGAACGGCAGAACTCCTGCTCTCAGAGGACAATTAAAATAATAATTACATTAATTTAAAGGGATATAAAACAGAACTGGTGTAATTAAAGAACTGCTGGTTGTTCTCTCGCTCTCTCTCTCTCTCTCTCTCTCTCACCTTGTCCAGAGCAGATCCAGATTGGCTCCAGCTGGACTTTAGATCTGGGTCAATCTCGCCCTGAGGGGGCAAAAAGATAATCAGATAATCGATCAGTTTATTGATCCTGACGTTGCTCCTCCCCGCTTATCTTTGTTTCTATCTCATCAGGTGATATCCTGTCTGCTGACAGTGTAGCTCCGCCCCTCAAAGAGTCTGTCTGACGGGACAGGTGGGTGGGCGGTGGTGACAGGGCGCTGGAGGTGCCATGTATCAGGGGTGAGGGGGATCAGCTGCGGGGGACACACGGAGTCGGGTGAGGAGGGGGGAGATGAAGCTCAAACAGCGCATGGTGGTGCTGTGTGCCGTGCTCCTCCTGCTCGGCCTCGCCAAGATCTTCCTGCTGGACGGAGGAGAGGGCTCTGCTTCCAGCCGACGGGACCTCAGAGCTTTCCGCAAGGTCAGGGACCAATCAGCTATCAGCATTATCTCCATCCAATCAGTTGCTAGTATGATTCGTCACTTTATCGATCAGCTGTGGCCTTCCTCAACCTCTTCAGCCCTCTGAAATCAACTTTTTTATAACAGCATCGTCCAAAACTGTACCAAACATTTTGCCTTTAAAGCTGAGGCTGCTGTCTTAAGTCTCATCATGTTGTTTGTTGTCCTGATAACGAGAACACCACTTCCATAGTAAACATAATGACATCACAAAATACTCCAGTATGCACTGAGAGAGCATTTTATTATCTTGATGAGACACTCTGCTCACGAAATGAGATTTTAACACTGTTTTAAGGAAACTTCGATGACAAAATGTATGACTAGAATCACGGATCGGCTTTGATCCATTTCTCCACTCGCTCCAACATCTCTGCGTTTATGTACTAATACCACAAGACAGTTTTCATCAATCTGTGACTTTTTAATATCGCGAGCTTTGTGCCACTCAGTGGTTTTATGTGCCGTGATTCCCCCCACTTTGATGTCACATGCATACCGACTATACTACAGATCATTAGAATAACAGGTTGTGTTGTTTTAAAACAAATATTTGGACGTCCTCGAGCTCAAAAACGTTTTCTCTTGCTGTCTCTAAAAGCTTCATTTCTGTTTTTTGCACCCACAGATGGAGGCAGGCCTCTCTCTCTCCCGGGGGGCTCGCCTCACCCACACCCTGCAGTCTCCGTGGGAGATAGCAAGTCAGTGGGTGGGTCCGAGGGAGGTATACCCAGAAGAGACCCCCGAGCTAGCGGCCGTGCTCACCTCGCTCAGCTCCGCCCGGATCGAGCGAGCCGACGTGGGCTACAAGGGGACACAGTTAAAGTCCCTGCTGGTGCTGGATGGGGGTCAGAAGGTCGTCTTCAAACCCAAGAGGTCAGACCTGTTAGCGAGGGGTGCGGGGTCCAGCTGTGTGTGTTTCACAGTAATTCAACTGTTTCTCTCGCTCTCTCTCTCAGGTATAACAGAGACTATGTGGTGGAGGGCGAGCCGTACGCAGGCTATGACAGACACAATGCTGAGGTAGCTGCTTTTCACCTGGACAGGTGAGTACACGTCAGCATAACAGTGTCTGACTGGTTACTTGTATGACATGTTAGTGGGCACGCCCTAAAAAAACAAGGAGTGACACCTGGAGAGGTTTTCGAATGATGTGTCTCTGTGCAACTGAAATCTAACCAGGGCTTCTGTAGGTTCTGAAATGTCTGAAAAAGTATTTTTTGTGGGTTTGCTTGTCCACATGACAGTTCACAACATTTAATGAAGCATGTTTAAACTCTTTCACAAACTGCCAACAGAACAGAGAGGGAGATGAAGGTGGGGAAATTCAAGGTTGAGAAAATCTTACTTTGAGTAAACAGGAACTGTTGGACAAACAACGATAATGTTGCGACTTGCAAAATATGCACAACAAAATCAACGTTGGACAATGGAAATCAAAGCTGTTACATCCCACATGATTCTGTTTCAATAAGTTGTGTAAGTGTTCCTTTAAAAAAATATAGAATCTGTACACGAGGCGTCTTGATTTCCAACATGGAAAGTGTTCTGTTTCCGTTTGTAGTCCGACCTGTATCGACCTATCAAGTATCAGCAGGCTTTGTGTATGCAGGAAAAAAACAGTTTGTGTGGACGGAAAAAGCAGACAGAACGTCCTCCGCAATTATGACACTCCAGCTCCCATTACTAGTTATCTAAAGAGGATTTATATGTCTCTGTAAATGGATATTTGCATAAATGTAAATCGAACAACTAATTACCAATCAAACAAAACCAAAAATCTGCATTACGCTATGTTATTAAAGCCAATCAATGTTTAGATTTCCAGACTTCCTTAAATGCATCATAAATAATCTGATCTCCTTTCAACAAACAAACATTTTTTTATTATACATTTTTTATTAAATGTTTATTTTGAGCTTCTTACTCCTTTATTTAGAGATAGGACAGTGGATAGAGTCAGAAATCGGAGAGAGAGTGGAGAATGACCCGGGCCACCTGATCATTACAGCCTTAGTACATAGAGTGCGTGCACTACTCTACTGGCACCCCACAAACACTAAGAGGTGTTTTCTTCTCCTCTTGAGGACAGACCGGACGATCAGACCATGATAGACCATAATTAGAGACCATATAGACAATGACAGACCATGATAGTCGATTACTAACAATTATTGTCAATGACTGTTGATGAGTTAATTATAGACCATGATACACAATGATAGCTGAGGGGTTCTGAGATTATGAGTAATTTCAAGTAATACCTGTGTGTCCTCTCTTCAGGATCCTGGGCTTCAGGAGAGCACCTCTAGTGGTGGGGAGGTATGTTAACCTGCGGACCGAGATAAAACCTGTGGCCACAGAGCAGCTGCTGGGCACCTTCCTCATGCAGGGTCAGTATTTTTTTTTTATTAACACCTGTGATACAGTCGTGTCGGAGTCAGACTGTTGCTGTGTGAGTGACTTTTCTAACCTGATCAGTCTAAACCAACTCTGTTTCCTCCTGTCTCATGTTCAGAGGACAGAGGTGTGTGTGTGGGCGCGCGTGTGTGTGAGAGTCATTGCAAGTGTGTTTAAAACAAACACGTTCAACTAGCAGAGTTTAAACCACAGAAGAAGAGGTGGTGACACTCTCACTGCGAGGATAAAAATGTATTAAAACTAAAATGTCCGTGCAGCAGATTCAAGCTCTGAGGTCAGACCTGAGAGGTTCTGCTCACCTGTGAGAACAACTTCATTCATTGGTCCATCCATAGAAGAAGAAGAAAAAGGCAGGAGCCATTCAGGGACATTTATCCATCAAACATGTGATGGACAGAGTGTCTCTAATGAGAAGGTGTACTGCTTTAACTCATCTTCATTTTTAAATGAGAGCAAATATGTTGTTAGAACCATATAATTTGTATGATGACGTCACCTTTGGTAAAGTGAAGTTTTGATGATTTTGGTCTATGTTAAATAGACCAAACAGAAGGACATGTTTAATGTCCAGGAGAACACACATGAAGACGTGAGATGAACACATCAGACAAACAAAAAGAGGCTGAGCTAAAGTTAGCAGCAGCTCTTCTTCCTCCTGACATCTTGATATCAAACTGCTCCATTCAGGGTTCATCTACTCTAGTTATAAAAACTTTATTTTATAAAAAAATTAATGAAGTACAGATATAAACTTGAGAATAAACTAGATTCTGGTTTCCTCATATTTCTGTCACTGTCCTCAAACTTTAGCTTTATTTAATTATTATAAAACTAATATGAATGTGATTAGAGATCAGTTAGAAACAATCACGTGATCATATTTTGGCTGTGATGATAAAAAGATTTCAGATGGTTGAAAATGAAACACAGGTGGACAGAGATATTCCTGAACAGCTGAGCGAGGTACAGGCGTGTTGTAACTATTACCTGACATTATTGAGTCAATATGTCAACTCGAACAGCTCATCTGTTTATACACATACTGTTATTCAGGTTATATTACAAACTCAGATCAATATGTTCCGTCTAGAATGATTGAGTTGCTTGTTCTGTCCACTAGATGGTGCTGCAGGAGGTTGTTTCAAACAAATATGAAGAACACATTTTTACATTTCACTTTGGTTACTTAAGAAGGTGCTTTCATTTTTTCTTTGTACAGCATAATTTTTTCATGAAACCTTAATTTTTTTTGTCTACATTTTCTGTTACTGCAAAATAAAAATAAAAGAGAGAGTAGCACCGTGAAATGTTCCTCTCATTAGTTGGTAGTTTAACAGTTTTTTTTTTCAGAGCTCAATAATTGTTGATTTAAAGAAATAAATCAAAATAAATGTTATCAATACTCACAGAATGTCTCCTCTTCTGCAGGTAATAACTCCTGTTTTTACGGGAAGTGTTATTACTGTCGGGAGAGCGAGCCAGCGTGTGCAGACGGAGAGATGATGGAGGGCTCTTTAACTCTTTGGCTACCGGACGTGTGGCCTCTGCAGAAACACAGACACCCCTGGGGACGCACTTACAGGGAGGGCAAACTGGCCAGGTGAGACACACCTGAGACCTGAATGAGCATCAACCTGAATCTGTAAACGCACATATACACCCGTTTGTTTTAAGGTTGTCCCAAGCTTATAAAACTTAAAGTGTTTTAAAAGGAAGCAATCTGTTATTTAATTGCTGATTGTATCGAAAATTACTGAAACTTTAAAAAAATAAACTACACCTTCTCTGTCAGACAGGTGTGCAAGAGATGAACGATCAATCAAACACTTTACATAAACTCTTGCACACTGAAAAGTTAACAATGTATTTGTGCAATTCAGACAGTGTGCAGGAGTTATTAAAATTGAATTTTTGTTAATCAAATACAAGAAATTATCAAATTGTAGTCGTCTAGGACTTCTCATTTTGTTGTCCTGGTTACAAACGGGTACTGTTATCGTTTGATTTTGACTAGAATCATTTCAAAGTTTAAAATTCTGGTGTGTGTGCGCCTGTGCTTGTGTGTGTGTGTTCATTGACCAGGTGGGAGTATGATGAGAGTTACTGCGAGGCGGTGAAGAAGATGCCCCCGTACGACGCCGGCCCACGTCTGCTGGACGTCATTGACACGGCCATCTTTGATTACCTCATCGGTAATGCCGACCGTCATCACTACGAGAGTTTCCAGGATGACGGTGGCGCCAGCATGCTCATCCTGCTCGACAACGCCAAGAGGTCGGTTAAAACATTTTCATTATATCGGAAGAACACTCAACAAACTACAATTTATCTCAAACAAGTTTAATTATTCTGAGTCAAGGCTGTTGATTATTATTTTGTTCTTCTTTAAAAAGTCCTTCCACATCTTTCAACCCTGAAAAATCTAAATGTAGCTCATTCAGGACATGTCTGCTTTGACTTTTCTTGTTCATATTATTCCTACTTTCAGAAATATTTAACTTTTTCCCAAAAGTTGGGATCATTGAATTGGCAGAATGTTCAAAATGTCCCATTTTCACATTTCTTCAACCTAATTCAAAGCCTTAAACCTCGTTCATACATTCTCACAGAAACGTACCTCTTATCTAACCTTTAAAATATTCCCGACACTTTGGGCTTTTTCAGTATCATTTAGACTTTTTCATATACACTGATTTTCTGCTCTAAAAGAAATTGTGTGTTTGACACAGAATGTTCAGACTCAGGGCCGGAAAATATCTCAAGTCACCTCCTTGAAAAAGTGATACTTAAACCTCCATGTTTTCCTCCACATACACAAAAAAGGCATCAAACCGTAGGTAATGTTGTGTTTCTTGTTGAAATTGGTTAAACAGCAAAAGAATGCAAACTTTAGCCAGTACATACCCAGCTGAAACAGAAGCTTGATCAAGTTCCCCATTTACTCCAATGTTTTCATTATTTCATAATTTTCTAAAGGAACCAGAAGAGAGAATGTTTTATCTCCCTCTCCTGGACAAATTCTTAGGAGTAAAAACATGAATTGTCATAATTGCTTCATAAAAGCCTTGAGGTGCTTATGTTGTGTTTGATAATAGCCAGTGTTTCTCCGATATGCCATATATATGCCTATATGTCATATGACCTTTATAATTGCGACAAGCGATATAGACTAAAATAATATACAGGACTCGTTTGCGGTGGGGCGCTGGTGGCACAGTGGTTAGTGCGCACGCCCCATGTATGGTGGCATTGCTCCTCCAAGCGGGCGGCCCAGGTTCGAATTCCACCTGTGGCTTCTTTCCCGCATGTCATTCCCTACTCTCTCTCTCCCTGATTTCCAACTCTATGCACTGTCCTGTCTCTCCATTAAAGGCACAAGAAGCCCCAAAAATCAATCTTTAAAAAAAAGGACTTGTTTGCGGATAAATAATGGTCTAAATCTATTCATATTTGAGATAAAGACAAGCAGTAAAAAGTATGACAATCACCCAGATCTGATCCACTAAAGAGGATGATGACTAAGATGTATAATGGCACCAGAAAGCCTGAATGTGAGACTATTCTTATTAGTCTGTTTGCTTCATAGAATGGGCTTCTTTTTTTTCTGACAGATTGACAGTTAGTAGTGAGAACAATGAATTGACAAAACAAACTTTCCCAAAAGCACTGACATCTGATTCAACAGTGCAGCATCAATGCTGTTAGGTCAGAGGATTACAGAGTGGGTCTGAGTAAGTGTAGTAGCCTTTATTTTCTCTCATACTCTGCTAAGTGAAACCCCTGCATGTTGAGAGGATCTAACACTGGTTAAAAAGAAAAGAAGCCCAATTCTCCTTTACAATAATTCACTAGGCTACATGTTTAAAATCAAGTAGGCAGAAGTATACCTTATGAAACATTTAAGATTAGTTTGAGGGAATAGTGGCTTTAAAATGTGGCAGAGGCCACACAATTTGGGCTTTTACAGCCAATAATTTTCTCCGGGGGTGCATGAACAACACATTTTAAACAAACAGGCATTCAGGATTCATTTTAGCAGTTTAGCTTTAGCTATTCAACATATTCGACACACGTTGCAGAGTCTTTCTTTAATTAGTAAGTGTATTCAGCTTTCAAACTACAATTTCTACAATTTATTCCTCTCAAACATTACTGACATTATCAACCTCTTCAGAACAAGAATTAGCAGTAACATCCAACATTCACAGCTTAATATCTTTATAAATGACATTCTCTAGTTTGCTGTTAAGACATTTTTCCCATGGTGTAACTTTATTTAAAATGATGAACTATTCAGAACCTGTTTACGTTTATTTATAGAAATTCAGAATTGGTTTTCTTGAAATGTTTTACAGTGTAAAACTTAACAGCACCCATCAGATATAAACACGTTTATCTCAAGGTGGTTGAGCTGGAGCTTCATACTCTGGAATAAATGACTTCTGTGGAATAAATCAGGAACCAGAGCCAGAGTTCAGTTTAATATTTAATACAAAAAGACAGTCAGTCAATAAAAAGAGAGAGAGCATGTGTCTGTCTGTAAGGGTCAGGTCTGTTCTCCCTGTTGGTTTATTTCATCAGAGGGGGTCAGGTCTGTGCTCCGTGTTGGCTTGTTCCGTCAGAGGGGGTCAGGTCTGTGCTCCGTGTTGGTTTGTTCCATCAGAGGGGGTCAGGTCTGTGCTCCGTGTTGGTTTATTCCATCAGAGATGATTCAGCATGTAGAAAAAAAAGGAAGTTGAGTTTCAGACAGATCCTACTGCGAGCCTTGGATTGTTTCTGAATGACAGTTTGTATTTTTAAATAAAGGTTTTAGTGAAACTGCTCTTTTGTCTGACAGCACAACAATTCTCTGGGTTTTATTTTTTCTTCTATGTTTTTATTTCAGCTTTGGGAATGCAGCCCTGGACGAGCGCAGCATCCTCGCCCCTCTCTACCAGTGCTGCATGTGAGTCCTATAATTGTTATTATTAATGATCTATGTTAATAACATATGTTATCAATGGGTGTCCAACGGTTCACACGGGTCGCGGTTCGGTAAGAATTCAGTTCAACAGGAGAAAAAGTCCTGGGTGCATATTTCTAGGTTTTTCTTATTAATTAAACGAAAGTCATGAAAATGACAGTTTGTTCCAACTAGTGTTATTAAGAACTACCTGTGATAGTAGGTACATTTGAGTTAAAATCTCCCATGCCAATTAGTTGTTCCCGCAGTAACAACTACTATTCCTGGGGTCTAAACAAAAAAAACCACACAAAAACAAGCTCAATTAAATTCACAACATTAATTCACAATTTTTATGACGTTTGCAGTCACATATTTATCAACGGTGGGACAAAGTCATTGTCCAAACAAGTACACCAAAATACAGTGCATTGTGGGTTGAATTTGGCCATCTGTAAATGATGTCAAATTGGATTTGCTGAGCATGACAAACGTTAGCATTGCTAACAACACCATCCTTCAGACCTCCTTACAGGTTAACGCGCTGATGCCTGTGATAAGTGTGGTTACACCGGTCTACAGACTACTAATAACTTTATTTCCATTTTATAGATGAAAATAAGCTACTGTCAAACTGCGCAGCGCTACGGGTTGCCATTGTTCCATTGTCTTGTGTACTTTCAAGTGATAGTGCAGGCTGGATGACAGCAGCAGCTTCTGACAGAAGCTACACAGTGTTTCCCCTAGGTTTACAGCGTTGGAGGGGTGGGGACAAGCCAACACGATGACACAAACACTTGAAGGAATCTTGGTGTTCATGTGTTACTTTTAATGACAGAAGTCCTTTTCTATTGGAAAGGTATCCTTAAATGACTTCTTTCCCTGATTTCCCACTCTAGCCACTATCCTGTCTCTACAATAAAGGCACAAAAAGAGGTTGGGGGATATAATGGTAGGGGAAACACTGCTACATGTAGCATTCAGGTGCTCCTTGGATGGTCACAGTTTCCGAGTTGGGAAGTCATTCATCCAACTTCAGTGTGTTCACGTGTTTTCAGTTAAAAAAGTCTGAATGTTGTAACTATAACAACAGACAGCGTGGATGCTACGAAGACGATGTGTGTAATGTCTCTGTTACAAGTTATATTTAAGCAAAACATTGCTTAAATATAAGCTTAAACATAAGTGAATTAGCCTATTGAATATTATAGTAACATTAACAAAACATACTGTATTTTGCCCACCATGTTGATGAGGAATATGTATAGGCACCTAATTCAATTCAATTTCCCACTTGTTGTTCCGACTTGAGCAGGTGCTTCTGTACATTTTCCAACTCGAAAACTAGTTTTCTAGATGTGTCTGACACCACATGAATGCAGCTACAGCCCCAACTAGTGACACGTGGCTATGGTAAACAAAATTTGACAGGCTTTGGTGCGCTTCACAGAGTGCTGTCTGAAAGCAAAACAAATGCAAATATGCAACAATGTTGCAACCTCATCCTTAAATCGCACCGAGTCCACTGAACTTTATATGTGAAAGCGATATATGTGTGTCACATGGATTTCAATTTTCTATATTTGTTTAAATGTTTTCATTGTATTGCATGGTGTCGTACATCCCTGGTTTTTTGATGGTTGTCTCTATTCTGTGTGTGTGCCAGGGTGCGGGTGTCCACCTGGAATAGGTTGAACCTGCTGAGGGGCGGAGCTCTGAGCTCAGCGATGCGTCAGGCTCTTGGATTCGACCCCATCCAGCCAGTCCTGTCCGAGCCTCACCTGACAGCTCTGGACCGCCGTCTGTCGGGCATCATAGCAACAGTGAAGCAGTGCATGGAGAGTCAGGGCGCAGACAATACGCTGATCGAGGACCGCATCAACCTCCCCCACCCCTGAACATATAGAAATGCTGAGGTGAGGGGAGGAGAATGGATGTTTTGTGCCTCTCTGACAGCAGGACCCTTTGTGGACTCTCTGAGGACTGATGTACATACAGGACAGAGCCTGGTCCCGCCCCACGCCATTTTATCAGGCTGTCTACAGTCATAAACTGAAGAGTCGACTTTGATGAACAAAAATAAATTGAATCCGGATTTAAATAAGGTTTTTTTTCTCCTGAACTCTGATTGGAGGAGAGAGGAGCTCCTTCACTGTACAGACGAATCTCCGTAGTGACCGAAAATATACATCTGTGATTAAAAATAATATGTGAGTGATTGAGAGAGTGAGAGAGTGAGTGGTGCGCAATACTGTGCCATATATAAGAAGCTACTGATGGGACAGACTTGAAAGGGGGTTCATGTTCATTATTAAATTCTGATGTATTTAACTGATCTCAGGTCTGTGTTTGTTTGAATAACCCTTTAGATTAACGTCATGTTGCGCTCATTCTCATATCTGAACTCTGTGTTCACAATGATTGTAAATCCTCACTTTAAGGGTTGTTACATTACCAAAGTTTCAACTTTGATATGATTGTAGTTCAAATCAAATGATATCAATACTTGTTTGATACCATGGCAACGAAAATAGAAGTCCTAGACACCCAATATTTGATAATTTATTGTTTTAATGATTAAAAATTGCAGGTAAACTCCTGCACACTGTCCTAATTGAACAAGTATGTTGGCAACATGTATGTGCTATTAGTGCTATTTAGTCAGTGTGCTGGGGGTTTCCCTTATAGTCATTACTCTTTGATAATATGGATCAATAAAGAATAGAGTGTATCATTTTTAGAGAACTAGTATCGATATGTTTTGAAAACCTTGATTGCTTTGACTCTTCAGCCTCTCTGTGTGGTTAAAGGTAAGTCGTCATGTTTCTGATCTGAATCATTAGACAGTCTCAGATATTCAACTGCATAATCCAGCTTTTTTATGTGGTCTCATAATGTGAGGGTTCAGGTATGGTTTTGAAGGGGAGGGGGTGTGGTTTGCACACAGCTGTCTTCAGCCATGATCCCCTGAAGCTGCACAGACTACAGCTGTTTGTAACTTTTTTTTGTTAGGGGTCAGGTATGGTTTTGAGGGGGGAGAGGGTGTGTGATTTTCACACATTGAATTATTCAGCTGTCTTCAGCTTTAATCCCCTGAAGCTGCACAGACTACAGCTGTTTGTAACTTTTTTTTGTTAGGGGTCAGGTATGGTTTAGAGGGAGGGTTTTTTCACATGACATTTCTTGATCCTCTGATGCTGCAGCGGTTTGTAATTTTTTTGTTATTCAGATGTTTTGAATAGTTCTGTTTTTGGTGCTTTTTGTGTGTGTGTTAGAGGATGTGTGTGGGCAGCTGCTGATGAACACACTCAGATTTTCCTGATCTATCCCTGTGTTTCTGTCCATCATCTGAAAACTTCAGTGTGTTCACTGAATGAGTGTGTAAGCAGATACTGTATGTGTTCTTACAGACCTGCCTCTGATGGAATTCCCCTGTTAAAGCTTCTCTTACAGACATCACACATAACTTGAGACACACAAACTGAGAGAAGAGGATAAAGTAGAACAGCATCACTTTGCAGTGTTGTGCAGTTTTGTGTTCGTGTCCACATGCACCCAGAAGCAGTGAAACAACACAGTGCCCCCGCTAGCCAGCTTCCATCAGATATAGACTTTCAGCTAGTCACCTGTTTCGTTTTGGCTCAGCAGGTGTTCTAGTCAGTACATGAACCAAAACATTGAAACTGATGTAAACCACAGAGAGAGTGAGTGAGAGAGAGTGAGAGAGAGAGAGAGAGAGAGAGAGAGAGAGAGAGTGTGTGTGTGTGTGTGTGTGTGTGTCTCACACCTGTCATGTGGCATGTTCAGTCTGATCATTCTCCGTCTGGTCTCATAAATCCTCTACATCCTGTAAATTTGTCTTTTTAATGTTCATTTTATCGAAGTATTGTTACTTTACTTATTGTTATTTTTATCTCTGCTTTGTAAGGTGACCTTGAGTGTTTTAAAAAGGCGCCTTTAAATAAAATGTATTATTATTATAATTATAAAAACACTGCGTACACTGGTTTAAAGCCAATGTTGTTAAACACTCTAAAGTCAAGCAGGGGGCAACTCCATTGTTTTTAAAAGCAGCCTGATTGTATAGAGGTCTATGATAAAATGTTCGTACTTGTCAGTTGATTTATTCCCTTAATGAACATTTTCCTATTGAGTTTATCTAGATCTAGTTTCAAGCCTTCCTCAATACAGCATGATGTTCATTTAGTAAATTATGGTCAGATTTTGAGTCAAATAGACTAGAAAGAGGGTTTCGGGTGGGGCTAACATTGCCTACCTGAAAAAGTCTTGGTAAGTGTTTTATTGCATTAAAAGAAGCTGTAAGAATGGGTAAAGAAGTGGATAATGGACCATATCAATTGTGTTCCAGTGTAGTGTGTTGTTGGGTTATGTATTGATGACAGTAGTATAAATAGTGTAGATCATGTTGCAGTAATAATAATAATGTAATTTGTCCGGATTGTTTGACTATGATTTGCTAGTGTATCATTTTAATTCTCATTATCTTGCTTCCTTCATCCTCAACATACCACTAATACCAGAAAAAGAGAAAAATTATAATAATAATAATGATAGTACTAAATAAATAATAATAATAATAATAATAAAAGAAATATGATAATAATAGTAAAAAGAAAAAAAAACAGCAAAGGTTTGTTTGGCACGGGGTGATAGCAGTAGTAATTATAGTTATAAGAGAAATAGAAAATACATGAATAAAACAAGGCAACCAAAGAAAAACAGACAATCATCTGGATTGGAGAAAGAGAAAATAAATAAATAAAAAGAAATGCATGAAAAATGAGAGTGGCTGTGATACAATTTTTGATGATGAATATGATATGAATATAAGGGGGGAGAGGAAATAAATCAACAAATAGGTCATAATAAAATGGTGGCTAAAGACAATAATAATAATAATAGTAATAAGAAAAGATTAAATTTGATGGTAAGAGGAAAAGCGTGTATTTATGTGTGTGTATTTGTGTAAGTGTGTATGTATTTGTATGAGTCTATATTTGTGGTAGTGAATATCAGGGGTTTGAACTATGTTGTTCGGGAAGTAGTAAGGTGAGGATTGGCTCCCAAGTTGTCAGAAATTGATGTGTTTTATTGTGGATGGATGCTGATATGTTCGACAAAGAGGTCTATCCATACTGAGGTGTTTAGTTTTTTTCTGCTTTTCCAGTTTTTTTTTGTTTTTGTTTTTGTTCTTTTTTATTTTATCATTCCTCAGTTATTCTAGTTTTCTTCTTTCCCTTTGTTTTGAATATGCTTTCTAGCCCCTCCTTGTTCAAGCTTGGCGGGAGGGTAGCAGTAGGCAACCCTATCAGCTGGTCCCCTCCGCAGGGTCTGGGGACAACTGAGACAGGACCACCCCTGCATCACACAATGACTGAAGTAAAAAAAATATATATATATATACATATAATATAGAAATAAAGAGGGGGAGGAAAGGGGAAAGAAAAAAGAAAATGAATTGGAAGAAAAAATAGGAATAGGGGTATAGAGGAAGGGAAAAGGGAAAGGTAAAAAAAAAAAAATAAATACAAGCATACACTCGAATTACACACACACACACACACACACACACACACACACACACACACATACACAAGCAGGGCCCTTCAACACCCTCAACATACAAAATTGCAAAACGTTATTATTACTCCCTGCTTGCCTGTTTTGTCTTGTCTTTGTCTATGCTGTGCATTGTATCGTCGTGTCTCCCCTGTCTCCTACATACTTTTGCTCTTGTCATGTCCCTCACTTGTCTTGTATTGTTCTGCATCACCTAATAAAAAAAAAAAAAAGTAAAAAAAAAAAAAGAAGCTCTAAGGAGATGGCTGTTCATATTTTCATTAAGAATGTTTTTTTCTGGAAGAGGAGCAAGGATTTCCCTCCCCATGGTCACTTCAGGTTTAAAAATGTGTTGTCAGTGTTAATGCTCTGTTTCTGTTTCTCCCGCAGACTGAATGTAAAGATGGACAACATGTCTCCACCTCCTCACGCTGTACAAATATGAAGCCAAATTCCATTCACGACCCCCCTGGTTAACCTTCCTGCCAAAGGTCAAAAGTCGCTCAGAAAACTTCAGGTAATGGCGGCGGCGTGAAAAAGCTGTGTGTCGTTCAAACCTCACAATTCTAATGGTAAAAGAAATGGTGCGTTGACAGGTGGACTCGCATATCAACCTGTATGAGGGGATGAATTTATGTTCAGGTGAAACGGAGGTAAGAACGACTAGAGCAAGTAAGAAAAGGGCATAAAAACATTTGGCGGCACCAGTCGCCACAATGGTAGAAGTGGAAGAGATAAACGCCTGATGCTGGAAATTAAGGACTCGCTCTCGAAAGACATAAAGGACTTCAGGATGGACTTAAGAGAAGGTTTCATAAAAGGGTGATTTATTGGTGATAACGTCCGCCATCTACTGGATACTATAGACTATTATTAAGCGGAACAAAAACTCAGAATTGTATTTATTGCTTACTTCGAAAAGGAATTTGACAAAGTATGATGGGATTTTTTTTCAAAAAACGCTTGATTTTTTTTTTACTTTAGAAATTCCCTTGAAATGCGTGAAGGTAATATATAATCAACAAACCAGTAAAATAATAAATAATGGGTATTTATCAAACAGTTTCAGACTGGCTAGAGGCGTACGCCAGGGGTGCATGCTGTCTCTGTATTTGTTTGTATTATGTATTGAAATTCTTGCTATTAGAATCAGAAATAAAATGTGTATAGTAGGCTTAAAACAAAATGGTATAGAAACAAAAATAACAATTTATGCAGATGATGCAACCTTTTTTCTGCAGCCTGAGAAATCTCCACTAGATGATATAATTTCCTTTTCAAAATTATCTGGATTATACCAAGATTTTGAGAAACAGACTATATGAGAATTGGATCATTGAGAGGTACTGATTTCCATATACGGTGTCCAGCTCGTGTCGCTGGAGTAACCGCTCAGTAGATGTTCTGGGAATTCATAGTCCAGATAATCCAAAAGACCTAAAATAAATTATGAAGAAAAAACTGAGAAACTTGAAAAAGTTTTACAACCTTGGGGAGGGGAAACGTTCTCATTTCAGGGAAAGTTTACACTGATCAATGAATCAGCTGAGGAATTGAAATTCCTCATCTGGTTCATTATAGCTAGGGCTAGGCTCTCTGAAAATAAGGCTGCTAACACAAGAATCTGGGAAGAACATTGTTTCAGGAACATTACCAAGATTGTTTGGAATCTGACCTTAAAACGCCCCTGGCTGTAGTCAGAGCCCAGTTTATAAACCTCATTTGTTAAAACAGCTGTCAATCATGGTGTTGTAC